AAAACAATCTATACTGGTTTTTGTCTTTTTCTTTTTATGCTTTGTTGGATTGTGACTTGTCATCTCTCTTTTTTCTTATCTCTATGTCTTTTTTCTCTCTCTCTCTCTCTCTCTCTCTCTCTCTCTCTCTCTCTCTGTCTAGCATCCACACAGAATTTACATACAGTGGGCATGGAATGCTGGTGCATCAAACGTTGGTCTATCCACAGGTCAGTCTCTCCGAGTGAGTGCCGGTTCCTGCAGACCAATTTGCCCATGCATTGCCTGTCTCTGTTTAAATATAGCACCACTCTCTCCCCGTTCCAGACAGGCAGCAGAGTGGGACCAGCCCATAAAACTGGCTTTTAGTAATTGCACAGAGCGGGATCCCCAGCTAATTACTTTCTTTCTTCTCTGGAGAAGCAGGAGCAATTAGGGGCTTCCTTCCACAGCCTGGGGGGCTGGGCACCACGTCCCTTCTGTTACACCGGGGCTCCCCACTCCCACGCGGTTCCAGCAGCGCAGGCCTGCCTCCTTTCTCTCGGCTCTGAGAAAAGCCGCACGCTTGCCTGCTTGCCTCCGCGAATCAGGCCTCCGGCCGCTAGCAGCCCCCTTGGTTCCTTTGCCTTCTTCCTGCTGCTTCATGGCTGAGTGGGGAGGAATCTGTGTAGACACACGTGTCTATGAATAGAGTCCCAAAGATGGCTGGGTGTGTTACCAAGGGCAGGCTAGGTGGGGAGGCCTAGGCCTAACTGTGTCCGCTGACTTTTACCAAACTACACACGCTGAACAAAACTCAGTTTCATCATGTGGAAAGTGGGGATAACACACTCTTCCTTCTTGAACGGGAATGTCAGGAGAAGCAAAGAAAAATCCATGTCAAAACTACAAAATTATTTTAAAAAATAGACAATCCTTGATTTTCTCCTCTTACTGAAGCATATGGTACCACGGACAGGCCCAACCACAGCCATTTCACAGCCTGATAGTCCAACAATTCATCTTCTACTCCTATTTTGCTTAAGTAATGGTAGGATAATGTTACACTCCCAGGCTCACGCAAGGTGATGGTCGGGGCTCGGGGCCTGGGAGGGGGTTTCCAGACGGATGACAGGGACACACATTCCTGAGATTGAAAATGTGCTACTCGTCACTCATAAGAGAGACAATCTACATGCGGGTAATTGAGGTTTGGGAGGAGGAGTGTTTCCTTAACGGGCTTTACACAAACTTAATTTCTGCAAAGTGTCTCCTATTTTATATGCACTGACACATATTTAAATGTACAACTTCAATTACTGCCTCTGCCCAGATGCTTCGCTTCCCCTCCTTGAACTCGCTCCTCAGCTCTGGGCCTGTATCTGCAATCGCTCGCACCACCTTTTCCCTTAAGGCTATAAGGTTATTTAGTGGAACCCCCTCTTAGTAAAAACATGGAAGCTGAGGCCCACAGACCAAAGTCATTTCACAAGCAGCGACAGGGTGGCATGTCAGTCACCAGTTTCCGAACACAAAGAGGAAGCTCCACCCTCAGTGTCCGTGAAAGACTTGACATCGCTTCACACCCAACTCATGTTCAGGCCCGTTCCTCCTCTTGACCTTTGAGTCTCCGTGGAGTGGAAGCTGCAAGAAGGCAGAGCTCACAGATCTACGTATCTTATTTCCTGTGCTTTCCCCCCAAACTGGCATTTACTGGGCTCAGAAAATATTTTGATGGCTGCATGCATGGATGACTACGAGAATTTGCCATCATCATTCTCTGTACCGTCGGAGCTCGGAAGCCACCATTTTCTGCCTCTTTTTCCCTGGCTTCCGAAACCTCATCGTTTCATGGGTTCTGGGGACTCGGTCCCCACACACGCCTCCCCTCACTTCCCAGGCTGCCCCCCAAGCCCAGGCCCTGATCCCGCACATTGGACCACACCCCGTGGCCCACCACAGCCTCTCCTTTCGCCCCCTCCTCCGGCCCTAGTCCTGCTTCCAGAATGGACGCTTTCATCACGATCTTCCCCAGGTCAGAAGCCATCCGCATTCTTCGAGTCTATCTAAAGTCCATACTCCTTGCAGGCAAGGCTCGCCGCCACCTAGCCTCCACCTGTCCTTCGAACCTCATCACCTACCATTCTGCCTCCTACAGCCCCCACTTCCACGAGGTGCCTGTGTGTCCCTTGAAACACATCTCACACAGGTTTGCCAACTTCGCACACAGGTTTGCCTTGTTTACTCTCTGAATGCCAATGATCACCCAGGACCAGCTCCAGTCTTCACGATTATAACAACAACAAAGGAATACAGCACAGCAGTAACAGTAGCTAGAATTTTCTAAATACCTCCTATGTGCCAAGCATAGTACTGGTGTTCATCCGTGTTATTCTACTAACTTTCACAAAACCCCCAGGCGGTCAAGGCCAGTGCCTAGCCTCATCTGATAGTGAAGGGAATCTAGGCTCAGAAGTGTCAAGTGATGATCTTACGGCCCCGGAGTCGGTACACAGGACAGCTGGAACTCAGGCATACACCTATCCGGCGCCACAGCCAGGACGCTAACCTTTAGGCAACACTGCCTAAAGCTACGCTACTTCCCTCAGTTCTGGCAGCCCTTCACCATGCATAGCGGACTGTTAAATCTCAAAACACTCTCTTGTACGCACATGGGTTTTTTTGTCCCCAGTTTTACTGTAAGGTACCTGAGAACAGGAATTATACTCCTGGGCCTTATAGGTTCTGGCTAACAACCAATGTGTGCGGGCTGAACTGATTGGAAGTGTAAAGTAATCAACCTGTCTTTAGTTTTGTTGGCTAATTCGCCCTTTAAGCAGTGAGTTTACTCCCATCTCCTCTCCCCCCAGGATCGTATGCTGACACTGGGTATAAACCAAAGAGAAAACCCTTACTGTTCAGGCCCTTGAGTGATACACAGTGGCGTGGCCTGGACAAGGAGAGCCGGGCAGGAGTTTCTGAGTGACTCAGGCGCTTGTGTTTGCAGAATCTTGAATGTTTTAGCTCCTGAGGCCTTTGTGAGGTTAAAGGAAAACAACAACAATAAACTCCAAACTCTCCCGCAACTACTGAGGACACTGTAAGATTTAATCACTTTCTTCAGAATAAAAAATGTAGTTGGTAATTACAGTTCTACTTACACATCATCACTATATACATAGATATACATATGTATGTGTGTGTGTGTGTGTGTGTGTGTGTGTAATTTGTTGTTAACCGGCCCATGGAAAATGAAAGCCATGAGATCTGACACATACACCATCTTACACATGTAAAATGCTCATTTGGGGCTCAATCATCAAGAAGCTGGTTGCCCTTGAGTTCACCACTGCCCTTCTCTGGGCCTTAGTTTTCTCACGGTGGACTGTGAGGTTTTACAGACTCTTAGGTCCCCCTCTTGCCTTGCCTTCCTTCCCAGGGTGCTGCTGAACACAGCCTCTTAGTTTTGGTTTATGTGCACAATCTTGAGTCACTTTCTCTGAGGCTTTGTCTGCTCCAGCCGCCCTCTCCTCTCCTGGGCAAACACTTCCAGATGAAGCGGTGGGCAGCCTCCCGTCTGGGAGCCCCTCACAAAGCCCTCCCTGCCCCCTTCACCCGAGGTGCCTCTGCCCTCTTGTGTGCTTTGCATGTTTAACACTGAAAGCTTTCCGCCAAGTTTTCAGCAGCAGGAGAGGCAGATAGCTTCTATCTGGAAGCCATCATCAGCTCCCCAGTACACTCCAAGAAGTGACAGCTAAAGTAGCTTTAAAAAGCCTCCTTCAAGGCTTCTCACGTTGAGTGTGCGCCTGTGGAGGAGGCCAGTGGGCAGAAATGCCTGTTCACACCAGCCGGACCTTCTGTGCCCATCTCTCAACACATGTTCTGGACACATGGACACAGCGGTGTGTGTAGAAGTTTCCGAAGGCACGCTGCCTGTGAAGTCCAGGGCCTAGGGGTCACTAACAAGCAGCAAACAGTAGAGGCCAGGTAGGACGCAACACAGGTTATCTGACAAGTTAAAAAACGCAGGGACAGAACAGTCCTGCTTTGATGGCAGCAACGGGCACAGGGATCTGCACGTGACAAAGTTACACAGAACTGCGTGTGCGCACATACACATGCATGCACACACACATGCACACGCACACACACACACCTACATACACACACACACAAGTGCACACGCGCACATGCACGTGCACATATGTGCATACACACACACACACACGAGTGTGTGTAAAGCTGTGAAATCTGAAGAATAAGGTCAGTAAATTACACCAACATCAGTTTCCTTGTTTTGATATTATAATATAGTTTATAAGATGTTACCATTGGGAAAAAAACTGAGTGAAAGAGTGTATGGACCTGTCTACCATTTTTGAAGCTTCCTGTGACTCAATAGTTATTTCGAAAACAAAGACAAAAAACGTGAGCCCCTCGTGCAGTGGCTCTGGCTAAGGCCCCCATGGTCCTGTGACACAAGCCCCAGTGCTCTCTCACAAGATTCTAATAACAAGTGACATCTTCACCATCATAATCTTCATCATCTTCTTCATCACCACCAAGTCTCCCACTTACTGAACATTTACTATGTCCGAGGCAGTGAGGATTTAAACTAGTTTCTCATTTGCATCAACATCCCCACCAGGCTACCATGCCAGTTTTAGGGACGATAATGACATTGGGAGAAGGAGAGCGGAGCCGCAGGCCACAGGCCTGCTGCTGGCCCAGGCTCTGCCCCAGGTCTGAGACCTAAGGCGTCTACTTGGGGACGAATAAACGGAGAACAGGACTGTGTGGAGCTGCCGGTTATTCGACGTGTGTTCCCTGGAAACCACTTAAACACATGCCTCAGTCTGTCTCAAAGGCGCCTGGCTGAGGCAGTGCATGACGGTGACACTGCCTTCCTGTCCGTCCCTCGCCCCTCGCCCCTGCTCTGGCCAGAGAGCCACATCTGCAGCGAAGCCACAGAAACGTTACTCACAGGTTCTTCACGTCGGCGATGCCGCGGAAAGCCTTCCTTGGGATGCCCAGGATCTGGTTTTCGCTCAGGTCTCTAAACAAGGAGAGAAGAAGCACACCGCCGTTAGCCGCTGGCCGGCTTTATCTGCATCTCATTATGATAACAAAACCCCTTGGAGGCTGTTTGGGGGACTGTTTAGTCTCAGGCCCCAGGCTGCTCCAGCCTCCACATTGTTCCTCTAGGGATGGCCTTTGCTGAAATGGTTCCAGGCGCGAGCAGCTCGCCTCCAGGGCGGGCTCTGTGGGTGGTCTCACACCTCCAGGCCACGAGCCAGGACTGGGCTCTTTGTTGCGCACACTGTACCCAAGTCTCTGTTTTGCCACCTCCCAGAGGCGACCCCCTGCCCCTCCTCCCCCACGGGGTCCCTCCCCCACTGCAGGGGCAACACCACTCCAACTCCCCTGTCTCAGGGACTCTCTGCCTTTGTCCTCTGGGATTGGAACGGAGCCGGCCATCCTGGTTTTCTGATAGGGAATGGCCGTCTCCACTTCTTCAGAGCTCCCAGAGATCCCCGGGGGTTTCCTGGGTCATCTTAGTGACAGTCATGATGGATTCAAATGGCATTGCCACAAAACCATCCAAAACGGGGGTCCCGCTGGCAGTGCTAAGTGTTGCTGAGGACGGAGGGCCAGGGACAAAGCGTGAGGTCTCAAAGCTGGTTCACACCCACGCCTCGTGCCAGGGCTTCCTTAAGAACCAAAGCCTCGGCCTCCTTTCCTAAGGCCCACGCAGCCTTTTTTATTTTGTTTTCCACTTTTGTTTATTTATTTTTGTTAGACCAAACACATGCACTTGTTTTCATTCCTATACAGCTGTTGGGGATCTCAGAGAGCAATCAATCATATATATCAATCACATACATATATATATATACACACACACATATGTGTATATTTTTAGTTACATGTATGTATGTATATATATGTGTGTGTGTGTGTATGTATCTCCATTATTTTGAAAACAACACAAAAACCTTCAGATATTATGATAAAAATATTACGCACCCAGACATAACCACTGTTACCAATTAGGAGTGATTTACATAAATTGCGCCAATAGGCTCTCATAGCATATAGTCTGCTACAACCTCGTTTTTTCACTTATTATACTGAGAACATATGCTCATGTCATTAACAGTACATCTATGCCAACATTTTTAATGTGTGCATATCATCCAATTCTATGGATGGCTAAATGATCCCACAACATTGGGTATTAATTAGTTAATTAATTTGCTACTTAAGGAAACACTAGGATGGATTTTCCTGCCCATGCAATTTGGGGACACCTGTTCAGCTACTCCTATGGTACAGAGTTCTGCCAGGGGAACGTGCTGGGTCACAGGGTAAACACATCTTGAATCGCTGAGTTTTCCTGGAGTCCGAGTGTACCAATGGACACTCCCACACTGATTTCCACGGACACTTAACCAAACACTATGGATTACTCCAAATATATTTGGAAAAAGAGATCAGACCACCATCCTCCACCAAAACCAGGGCCGTCTAAATTATCATTTTGCAAGGGGGCAGGAGGAAAAGCAGAAAGCAGCAGAGAGGCGCCCATTTTTCTGCTCTCACCTGAGAAGCCGAGCCGCCACAGTTAGAGCGGCTGGCTGAAACTCAGGACATTTGGGGAATTGCCTGGGGACACTGTCAGGCCAGGCTTAGAGTTGGGGTAGGGTGCAGAACGAATACTAGTGGCTTCTGGGGCTGAATAACAGGGTGCTCCCCATTTGAAATCCAGTTTCCTCTGTCTGCAACGGATGTAAGCACATTTAGATGCACGGTGAGCCCCGCTGCAGGCTCCCCCGGCTGGACCTGATTCAATGAGCAGGGCTCCAGCCTGGAGTCCGGCGCTGCACAAAGCCCACGACGACAGCAGAGGTCAGGCAGTGTCACCAAGGCCACTCTGCTGCTCTCCATCAGCCTCCAGGAGAAGGGGGCCCACGTCCTGTCATCAGACTAATGCAATTTCCACCTGGCATTTGGGCCGCACCCAAGGCTCTGGTAGCCACACTGGGCCCAGGCTTTTCTGCCAAGCGAGGGCTGGTCTCCAGCCCAGCAAGCCTCTGCCCACTACCCTCCCAGGCTTGGCTGCTAAATTTGGCCGCCCTGGCAAGCAGCTCAGACCACACTTCTTGGCAAATGGCTGAAGATGAAAATCAGGGAGAAACAGGAGAGAGGTTTAGAGCGGTCAGCTCTAACGATGCCCGGGAGCCAGAAGGGGCACATACCCAATAATGCATTAACCCTTTGAGTTTAAGGTGCCCCAACCAGACTGAGGGAACAGTGGCTGCACAAAGGTCCTAGTTTGCAATATGGTGGGATGGAGAGAGGAGAGCAATATTTAAGCAGAAAAAACCGGGGAGGGTTGCTGGGGCTCACGCAGGCAACATTCTGCACTTGGGTGGGGCAGCCCCTTGGGCTTCTGGTCACTGTTTTCTTGCTGTAAATAGCCCCAGTCCTGCTTCAAGTTTAGGGATCGCCGTTTAAAGCACAGCTTTCTTTCCACCTCCCCGCCGTGACTTCCCTCCGGCCGCAACTGAGCAAACCAGTAGATTTGTAGGGAATTTATCTGTTCTCCATGACAATCCGCTTATAAATTTTATTAATTTTATTTTCCATTGAGTGTCCTTTCTCTGGTTAACAATACCGCTGCCATCCATCTGCGGGGCTGTGTATTGATTTCATAAATACCTCCAGTGGGCTGACAGACTGACAGCTTTAATGGTGTTACTGATGGGGCGTGGAGGAGGGTTCGGGGCTGGTGCTTCATTTTCGGTAACTGTCCCTTCGCAATTAACTCGAGGGCCTTTGTGAGGGCTCCTAGCAGTGAGTTTATCTCAGCGTGATGCCGGATCATGGAGCTATTGTTAAGGACCATCCTTGAGAGAGACGACAGCCACCATTTTCAGCTGACACTTAACATAAAAATCACAAAATCTATCTGTAGTACCCTGCAGCCTGGTTCCAGCCAATTGCTTGTTGAGGCTTGAGCGCCTTACCCTTCCTGAAGGAAAATGCTGGGAAGTGGCCAGGAAAAGGGGACTTGCTGTTTTTATTTTATTTTTTTTAAACATTAGATGAAAGGTATGAGGTTGCAGTAGGGTGGGAGGTATGCTGGGGTTTTCTGGGGGAAATAAAGGATGGCTAGTGGGAAAGGCTTTCTTGTTTGGGAAGGAGGGTGACGAACTTGGGCACCTTTTTAAATAATTAGGGCTCCCAAAGAAAGGGGAACTGCATTAGCTAAAGTGCATTTTCTTGCTTCCGGAAAATGATTAATTGACTGATTATTCCATCCAAAAACACAAGACCAAAAAGGACTTATTAAGGAGACAGTAAGTCAAATAGGAGTTGGCAAGAAGCAATATATCTCCCTTCCAGCCACACCCCCCTTTTTAATTTACTAAAATGCTTTGGACACAGATTAACTTTCTTCGCAAATTTATTATTGCTTCATCTACCTTGAAATGGGAACTGCAGACACTTTGATAAATGGATTGAAAGGTTGTCTAGTTGCAGCGGAGCTTTTGAAATGCTTCCCGGGCTCTCCCTGCAATGTCAGGCATGCTTTGTTCTCAGAGCAACAGTGAGTGACAGTCTCCACCTTCACCCCCATGCCGACCCGCCCCATGTGTACCAGGCAATATGGCCAGGCGAGGAGGAGCAGGACAAGAGTTTCCTCTTTGCTCCACTGGGGACACTGAGCTCATCCTCCTCACATTCACACTACCAGGAAGTCCTGTCTGTGTTAAGTGAGAGTTTGGGGACAAAGAAGGGATTTGCTCCTAGAAATCCATCTTGAATTATTCTGAAGGTACAAAACGGGTCTTGGAAGCTCCTGATTGGTCATGCAAACTACTGGAGTGCTCTGTGCCTCAGTTTCCCCACCTCTGCAGTAGGACCTTTAATTTTACTGACCTCAGAGGTTAATTGTGAGGGTGAAACGAGGTGATATATGTGTGTACTTTGCAGCACCTGGAACCCTGTAGACACTCCATGAATGGCTGCATTTATTTTTTGGACTTTTCTCCCCATTTAGCCCTGGATTTACATCGCTGAAAACGTCCTTTATCATTATCCTCGGGACATATGCCTACAAGTTTGCAAAGAATAAAATGCATAAATGTTGCTAATATTCTTTTGATAAAATCTGAGGGAGGGATTCAAGAGTCCCTCATCTACCATCTAGAGAGGAATATCCATATTTGATTCTAGATCCTGTGGATGAAACGGGAGAGGTCATTCAGGGTCTGTCTTAGGTTGGGCTCTCTCAGAAGTAGACACTTAGTCAAGTGATGGGTTTGCAAAGTGTTCTTGGGAGAGGCTACAAAGGGATGGAGGAAGCAGGATGGAGAAGAGGAATAAGAAACAATTAGGTCAAGCCCGGGCATTTGTTCAGCACCCTGGGAACCCCTGTCTCTAACCAATGGGTCTGGGCATCTGCAGCCCTGCATCCAACAGTCCTTGGCTAGAGACCACCTAACAGGAATGCAAACTCCCTGGCTCTACCCACTCCCCATAAGGCTGGACGAGGTGAGTCCAGGAACCCAAGGGCAGATTGCTGAGGAGGTTCCCAGCAAAATTCAAAGAAGCAGGACATGGGAGCCAGTGTCAGTAAAGGGGACCCACAGGATTCAACCCCAAGTATTCATAAGAAGGCTTCAAGGACAGTTCTGAATCAAGAAGTTCTAAGAGTTAAAAAAAAAATCACTCATAAAAGATGACATATCCAAGACCAAAGGTCAAGAGGCCACAGGGGGAAGCTAACTGACCAAAGAAAACTGAACAACCCGGTCTGGAACCTTCTTTCTCTACGTCCCCAAAGCCCCTCACTGAGACCAACCAGGTGCCTTTTCAGCAACATTAAAAACAAAAAAATCCATCAACCCTTAATTAGCCAACTAAAGGAGGGGCTGATCTAAAGGCATTTATATTTGGCACCGTGATTGGATCTGGGATTAGGGCAGTGGGTTACCATTCTGATTCTCTGTGGCCTGAATAGATATTAAGATTACTTTCTCAGTCATT